ATATAGTTGTTTCATTTTTGGGAGAGTTAATAGTGATTTCTTCGGTAAATTGTGATAGACTGTTGCCATGGGATGGTTGCACAACAGTAGAATTCTTAATATTTTCACATCTATGTAAAACACCTATGTTCATATTACTTGTGCCAAGATCAGACAACGATTGTTGGCTCGAGGACGACTCATCATTGGAAATATCTGATACTACATTAGACGTTGTATTGTCCCAACCGATGTGTTGAATGATGGATGAATGTCACTTGAAACATCATCAAGTGGACTATATTGTTCAGATTCTTCTTCCAGTTGATGACATGTATGTGAAACTTCCATTTCAGGCACCAAACCCTCAGTTATTTGAGCCTAAGATAAACTAGTAAATATAAGGGCTTTGGTTGTTGAAGTTTCGCTATATTGATGATGCAACGGTGCTTTTGATCCTTTATTCGGGTGACTGGCATTACAATATCCTATTGTATTTTTTGAAACATTTTCGGGTCTCTCAATTGTTTTTTTTTTTTCTGATTGATTTGCCATTTTATAATGCATGCGACTTGAATGTACTGGAAAATGCTCGGGACTCTCTGAAACTTGTTTACTTATTTTGTTTGCTGCAGTTTCAGGATCTTCTGCAGTTAGCGATAACTTTGAAATATTATAAGTTGTTGGTGTTAGCAGCATATTTTGATTTGTTTGACTGGTGAGATTTTTGTTTGACATTCGTTTGGTTAAGTTCTTCTTGTTTTTTTATTTTTTTTAAGTTCTATTTTGTTATCTAGAGAAAATTTTGCATTATTTTCTTAAAAGTAGATCGTATGAATAAAACTCTGATTTACATTAGGCAATTTAGTTGCGTCAATTCATAGATTTTCTTTATGTAATTTATACTGCATAAGGTTTTGATTATTTTGGCTTTCAAAAACATTGAAAATAGTATAAAGCCAGACTTACCTCATTTTTAACAAACTACGAACTGAAGCAATGAAAATCGCCTAATAGAAGCTAGAGTAATTGGTCACATAATTAATATGACAGCAAGACAAAATAAAATGTTCTTACAATATGGAATTTAAAAACCGGAGGGTTATGTATAGGCTATTTTAATTCACATATTTAATGTAAATTAACTTCAAACCTAATACCACTTGTACTATAAGCTTTTTTTAATTTAAGTATTTTCTAATACATCCGGCAACATGGTATAATTATTGCAGATAACAGCAAGTCCCAGCTGATTTGACTCTGTAGTAATACTAGTGTCAAAATCGATATGACGTTTCGTGATTTAATTCCATTTCTTGATATACAATAGGTATACTATATTTAAATATAAAATTTCACTGCAGGGAAATGTGAAATATTTTTTGCCTAATAATAGAAAAAATCGGCGTTGAACTTAACAAAACGCCAAAGGCGATGGTTCGGAAACTTTTTTTCGGTTAAGGAACAGCGACACCACGTTAGATAATATATTCTTATATTTCATGTTTCCTAAAACTGCAAAATGTAGAATACTTTATGTATGTATGCTGTTTGGTTTCAACGTAAAGGAATGTTGCTTTTTTCGCGATTTTCTAGCGATTGCTTGAAGTGTTGAGAGATTAGGACCAACCGCTAACAACTATACATTCAGGGGAATGATGTGAAAGCATTAAAATTAAATATTTTAAGAACTATTCATCTGCATTTTTAATTTAATAATTCAAATTCCAAAAATGTAGATTTTTTAAATTAAAATAATTTATTGAAAATTAATTATATTGTTGACATTTTTGGACTCATAAATCTGACACTTGTATTACGTACAAAAACAAATTTGTATGTGGTTGTTGTTACGATTGTTGTACAACAACACTTGCTGTTACCTGTATTATTCTACCATGATCCGGTAAAAAAATCGTTTCTATTCCTCCATATACAGTCACTTACATATATGGCGCAATTTCATTGCTTGATATTAATTCTGCGGAGTACAAGCCGCCCTTAAATTTAACAACGCACACATTCCCTTCATTCCTTCGAGTTTTGTTATGGTTTTGGAATTGATAATGTAAAATTTGGCATCGTGGAAAGTGACTACAGAAAACGTTTTAAGTCTAAAATAACGAAAAAGGGTTAAAAATCATAATCGATACAAAAGTGGTGTTTCGCACAAAATACATTACAAACAAAATGTAGTAGATTATGAAAGTAAATGTATAAAAAAAAGGCATGAGGAAACAAGTTCCCCACTCTTCTAAATATTTTAAATTATATGATATACTAGGACTATTTTGGTCAAAATGTTAAACCAAGTTATCAAAGGGACACATTAAAATTACTTTTAAGGGTATGGTAGTAACAAGTCAAAATATTTCACATAGCATTATTATAGAAGGATGACGTTAAAGGCAAGCATATTTTATTATACCGCACATATGATAAAGTTGAGCTAAAAAAGAAGGCAGGTGTATCGGCTTTTAAAAGTTTACATCTCAAAATAACCCAAAATAGGAGGAGGATATAGATTCCTCGAAACCCGTGCCTTTTAGTTAAATAGTGTCTTCGGTCATATTGCAAATAAAAATACGACAACCTTTAAATGTGGCTAAAACTCCCTTTAGACGGGATCGTAGCAAGTCAAAATATTCCACTCAACTCTAGGCCCTAGAAGACGTCAAGGGTCTTAATCTCACATTAGCACGAGAATGCATAATTATTGAAATCCGCACGTTGTGCGTGCACCAATGTTCCGAAAAAAACAACGAACAATACTTTTTAGTTTTTTTTTTATTTTTTAAAGTATCTATAAAAGAATTAATTCATATCGAATTTTATTGTTTGAGTCTTGAAAAATTTGTATACATAATTGCTTTGTTCCTGTTCTTGCAAGAATCTACAAGTTTTAACCTTTTTCTCAATATCATAAAGGGAAAATCGGTTATCGTAGTAAAAACTTTTACTTTTACAAAAATGAATCATATTTTGTTAAAAAAAAACAGTATATTTTTGAAAATGCTTGCATTTTTTTCCAATTTGCTGTAAATGTTCTTACTTTAACAAGTAAAGCAGCAGCTAAGTTCGGCCGGGCGGAACTTTAAATACCCTCCACCATTTGAAAGAAATTTGAAATGTTAAAAAATCAAATGTGACTAAAATCATCAAAATACCGAATATCGAGAGGTACCCTTATATTTGGGCTATCCTAAGATGTGAACCTACAGGTTGTAGTACCCATTGCAAACTTTAAATCCGAAATTTGAAACAATTTCGGTTGAAAAAGTTGCTAAAATCATCAAAGTAACGAATATCGGGAGGTACCACTATATAGGGGCTATCCGAAAATCTGGACATTCATATACAATTTTCTGTCATAGGTTGTAGTACCCATTGCGAAGTTTGAAATAATTCCAGTTTAAAATGTGGCTTAAATACCGAATACCTGGGAGTACTGTTATATGCGGATCATCCGAAGATGAGGATCTACATAGTATCCATTGAAACAATTTCGGTGAAAAATTTTGCTTAAATCATCAAAATGCCGAATATCGGGAGATACCATTATATGGGGGCTATCCGAAGATGTTGACCTGCATAGACATTTCTCTGTCATAGGTTGTAGTACCCATTGCGAATTTTAAATGCAAATTTTGAAATAATTCCAGCTTAAAATATGGCTAAAATGCACAAATACCGAATACCTGGGGGTACTGTTATATGCGGGTTATCCGAAGATGTGGACCTGCTTCATAGGTTGTGGTACCCATTGCGAAGTTTGAAACAATTCCGGCGAAAAATGTTGCTAAAATCATGAAACTACCAAATATCGAGAGGTACGATTATATAGAGGCTATCCGAAGATGTGAACCTGCTCTTGATATTTTTCTACTATAGGTTGCAGTATTTATTTCGATTTTTAAATACGAAATTTTAAAACATTCCCGTGAAAAATGTCGCTAAAATCGTCAAAATACCAAATATCGGCAGTTACCGTTATATGGGGGCTATCCGAAGATGTGGACCTACATATACATTGTTCTGTCATAGGCTGTAGTACCCATTGCGAACTTTATACACGAAATTTGAAACAATTCCCGTGAAAAATGTTGCTAAAATTGTCAAAATACCAAATATCGAAAGATACCATTATATGGCGGCTATCCGAATATGTCACATAGACATTATCCTGTCATAGGATGTAGTACCCATTGCGAACTTCAAGTACGAAGTTTAAAAGAATTGCGGTGGAAAATGTGTCTAAAATCCACAAAGTACCGAATATCCGGAGGTACCCTTATATGGGGGCTATCCGAAGACCTGCATAGACATTTTTCTACCATAGGTTCAAGTACCCATTGCGAATTTTAAATACGAAGTTTGAAGCAATTCCGGTGGAAAATGTGGCTTAAATCCACAAAATACTGAGTACCTGGGGTACCTAAATATGCGGGCTATCCGAAGATGTGGATCTGCATAGACACTTTTCTACCATAGATGTGATGTGATGTGATTTTTAAATACGAAATTGAAACAATTCTGGTGGAAAATGTGGCTTAAATCAACAAAATACCGAATATTGGGAGGTACCCTTATATAGGGGCTATCCGAAGATGTTGACTTGCACAGACACTTTTCTACCATAGATTGAAGTAACCATTGCGAATTTTAAATACGAAGTTTGAAACAATTCTGGTGGAAAATGTGGCTTAAATTAACAAAATACCGAATTTTGGGAGGTACCCTTATAGAGGGGCTATACGAAGACGTGGACCTATATGGCCCATTTTCAATGCCAAAATTTCTGCAGACATTATATACATCTGAGTAACGTGTCATTAACCTACGTCATTGCGTTCGGAAGCTAGAATGATTTCCACAGACGGACATCGCTAAATCGACATAGAATTTTATGCTGATCAGGAATATATATACTTTGTGGGGTCTAAAATGTATATTTCGAGGTATAACAAACTTAATACACCTTCCATTGTATGGTGGGGTATAATAAACATGAAATCGGATTAAGATATGTATGGGAGCATTATCTATATTTTGACCGATTATCTCCAATGTCAATAGGGTTCGTTCATGGGGCGTCACAAAAATAAATGGAGAGCCATGCATAAATCGGTTCAGAATATGATTCTCGCATCAAAAGAAACTTTGAGTCTGGTCCATCTCTCGTCCTTCTCTATGTTACAAACAAATGCACAAATACATAGTACCCTGACCGCAGTGTGGTGTAGGGTATAAAAACATCCGCCTCCGCTTAATCTTGTTTGAAAGGCTTAGTGGAAATGATTTCAAAACTTTATTTGTTGTATTATCATTCACACCACACAAACATCAGGAACATCTTTATCCCAATTTATCGCAATATGAATTGTCGTCCTCCGTCCCTTAAAAAAAAAAACTAATTATTAGTTCACAATAGTTCAAATGCATATTTTGCTACCTACCACGTAACAGCAACAATTCCGAATGCCTCCGAGTTTCACAGCAATGTCTCAATGATACACAGCGTATTCATTTTGACGTCCCTTCATCATGTACCTGGAAGAAAGCAAACATAGTTTGTCATCTTAGAATGACTTAAAACCCTTAGTTAAATACTTACCAACTATTTTTATTCAATATTTACGCCTTCCTTGTTTGTATCCATCGCCGCAAGCGATATAAATATAAATGGAAATAACAAAACATTAATGAAAAACAGAAACATGAAAAGAAAAAATATAACAACAAACCGACAGGTAGGAGAATATAGATCGATTTTTGCAACAAATTCGCAGGGGCTTTCAGATTGACTTCTGTAATGAACATGCAGGAGCTTATAGATCGAATTTTGTAGGTATATGTTGCACGACCTGTGTTTGCATGCAGGAAAGTCATGCGTTTTGTCCACAGAAGTCTTCTACAAATACCTACAAAACTCGATCTATAAGCTCCTGCATGTTCATTACAGAACTCAATCTGAAAGCCCCTGTGACTTTGTTGCAAAAATCGATCTATATTCTCCTACCAGTCGGTTTGTTGTTATATTTTTTCTTTTCATGAATATGTTTTTCATTAATTTTTGTTATTTCCATTTATATTTATATCGTTTGTGTGATGGATATATACAAGGAAGGCGTGAATATTGAATAAAAATAGTTGGTAAGTATTTAACTAATTGTTTTAAGTCATTCTAAGATGACAAACTATGTTTGCTTTCTTCCAGGTACAAGTTGAAGGGACGTCAAAATGAATACGCTGTGTATCATTGAGACATTGCTGTGAAACTCGGAGGTATCCGGGATTGTTGCTGTTACGTGGTAGGTAGCAACATAAGCATTTGAACTAATGTGAACTAATAATTTGCGATAATTGGGATAAAGATGTACCTGATGTTTGTGTGGTGTGAATGATAATACAACAAATAAAGTTTTGAAATCATTTCCACTAAACCTTTCAAACAAGATTAAGCGGAGGCGGATGTTTTTATACCCTACACCACACTGCGGTCAGCGTACTATATATTTGTGCATTTGTTTGTAACATAGAGAAGGACGCGAGATGGACAAGACTCATAGTTCCTTTTGATGCTTTGCATAGAATTATATGCTGAACCGATTTATGCATAGCTGTCCATCTGTCCATTCATTTTGGTGAAGGCCCAAGGACGAACCCTATTGTCATTGGGGATAATCGGTCAAAACATAGATAAAGCTCCCATATATATCTTCATTCGATTTCACGTTTATTATACCCTCCACCACAGTGTGGAGGGTATATTTAGTTTGTCATTCCGTTTGTAGAAAAATTTCTATGCAGGTTCACATCTTCGGATAGCATCTATATAACGGTACCTTATGATATTCGGTATTTTGTGGATTTTAGCCACATTTTCCACAGCAATTGTTTCAACGTTCGTATTTAAAGTTCGCAATGGGTACTTCAACCTATGGTAGAAAAATGTCTATGCATGTCTACATCTTCGGATAACTCTTATATAAGGGTACCCCCAATATTCGGTATTTTTATGATTTTTTAGCGGAAAAGTTGAAATTTTTGTATTTGATTTTCGTATTTTCGCAATGGGTACTACAACCTATGACAGAAAAATATCTATGCAGGTCCACTTATTCGGATAACCCTTATATAATGGTATCTACCGATATTCGGTATTTTGATGATTTTAGCGACATTTTCACCGGAATTGTTTCAAATTTCGTATTTAAAGTTCGAAATGGTTACTGCAACCGAAGATGCAACCACATCTTCGGATAGCCTCTATATAATGGTACGTCCCGATATTCGGTAGTTTGATTATTTTAAAAACATTTTTCGCCGGAATTGTTTCAAACTTCGCAATGAGTACTGTTCATAATAGATGCTATATTTTTGCGCAACAGTGTTGTTTGTTAAATTACCGGTGGCTGCATAAATAACATCATAAAAAAATGATGTACATATTAGACACATATGCACACACACATGCACGTATATGCAGCCACCGGTAAATTCCAATGCTGAATTCAAATAAATAAGCATCGTCACCAGCCAAAACAGGTTTGCTGTGACGATGCAAATTGGATTTAGATCAGTTCTGTCTTGAATTTAAAAGCGCGTACGCAAGTTTCCCCCCCCCCCCCCCGAAGTGAACAGTGCCCAAAAACAGAAAAAAAAAACAAAGTGTCAACAAAAAAACATCATACCAAAAGATATAAAACATTGTACAAAAAACCAAAAACAATTGAACAACAACAAACAAAAAATTTGTAAACAACACATTGTGCAAAAAAAGTAAAAATTAATTGATCAAAAAAACCTAAAACTAAACAAAAAGTGTAAACGAAACCAATTGAATTTAAATTTGAAATAAAATAATACGAAAAAAAAATAAACACAACATCTTTTAATTAAATAAAAAACAAAAAAAAAGGTGAAGTAAAAAACATTTGGTCCTCCAGAGCCGGATCATAAAGTGAAGTTTTTAAAATATTAAAAACAAAAAAAAAAAAAACAAAGTATTAAGTGGACAGACACAGTGAAGTGAAACAAAAACAAAAGTGCATAGCATATAAATAAATAAATTAAATTACAAACTAGAACAAAAAGTGACGTTAAAAAAAGTGCAACCAAAAGAAAAAGTGAAAAAAATAGAAAGTACACTGTGCTACAAAAAAGTGACATTAAAAACAAATATATATTTTTTACAAACTTACTACAAAAAAGGGACAACACACAGTGCTACAAAACAAACAGAAAATACACATACACAATATCACAAAAAACCAAACAAAATCTAGAAGTACGCAAGATTGTGGAAGCTGCCAGTAGACCACGAAGGACTCCGGCAACACAACAACAATAGTAACAACAACAACAAGAGCAACACTACAACAACGAATTTTTTTTGAGACCCAAAGGCCAAATCAAAGTGAGTACTCAATCAAATTTATTTTGTTGGACATAAAGGGCATACCGGGAGCAGGCAAATCCTCAATATTTGCATTGACCCGAAGATTCCCATATTTTGAAATCTCAAGTTGACACTTTTTAAAGTTGCTGCGTTGCCTCTAAGACACTTTTTTGAGAAAATTTCCCTTTTTGGAGCCATTTTGTGGACGGACATCTAAATATAGACTCACATAGGCGCAATAAGTACTTATAAAATAGCGCGAATTTTCATACACATTCATATACATATATAATATATAATATTGGAATTTGCTGAACGTGCAGTTCAAAAAATAAATAAGCGCCATATTGAAAAAAAAAACATTCTTATTGGAAAATTGGCGTCACTTGACACACATATAAACGCCATATTGAAAAAAAAAATACTTATTGGAAAATTGGCGTCGCTTGATACACATATAAACGCCATATTGGAAAAAAAATCTAGCGTCACATAAAAATATATAATCGCCATATTTTTAACATTTTTGGCGTCACAAAAATACATAAGCGAAATACATAGCAACCGTTTGGTGGACAGACGGATTCTGCAAATAATAGCGTCTAGTGGACGGACATGAAACAATACTTAACCTAGAATTTTTTTCGGGATTTTTGGAAAAAAATTAGATTGGCGTCTGTGGACAGACAAAAGAGAAAAAAAATCGATTCCATATATAATATAACACATTTTTATTATATTTTAAAAATCTCTTAACATTTTTAAATCAAGAAAAACATTTCTGGGACCCAAAATTTATTTCTGGATTTTTTCGCAGAAATATTTTGCTGTTTTTTTTTGCTTTTTGCTTTTTTTTGAAAGAATTTGCCACGAAAAAAGTTAGATTTTTGTGGAAATTTTAATTGGAGTTTGACACAACAAACATTTTGCTGGGATATACAAACTTTTTGGAAAATTTTGAAAATTATTGGAATTTTTTTGAAAAAAAAAATGTTTGTGGAACTTGACCCAATACTAGCACCTTGTGATTTTAAATTAATTACCTAGCGTTTTTAGAAAATTTGTTGCTTCAAACAAATTTTCATAGCAATATTTTTGGCTCGTCAAAATTTAGAATTCCTCCTGCAATTTTATGGTAATATTTTTGAGGATTCTTTGTTCGACAACCCAGCACACTTTTTTATTTCAATAGAAAATATTTTTCATTTTTGGAAATATTTATTGAAAATTTTCATTTTCTACAATTTTACTGCTGGGAAAAAACCCTCGTTGATGGAAAATCAAAAATCTTTTGGTCGTTTTTGTAGCGTTTTTTGCCTGTACAATCCTCACCTTTACTCTTTTTGGAATAATATTGATTATTTCTGGATTTTCTCAAAATAAAATATCCCTGTGAGTGGATTTCAAGATATTTTATGACACCTTGGTATATCTTGACTGAGTTTGACTTCTCTGGACAAACCAGCAAACATTTTTAAACAAAATTATTTCGGCGTCACATACAAAGTAAAGTTTTTGGGATTTTGCAAGAACTTTCAAGTCTTTGGAACAAAACGAAATATAATTCGACCCAAACCAAAAATTGAATATAGATTTCGTTGATCAAATTGAAGAAGATAGCGTATCCTTATTTTTTAAAAATAAAAATTTGGATAAAAGATTGAATCTTATTCCAAGTCAATCCTTTTCATTGGGTTGCCTTTCCTTTTTGCAACACAACAAAATTTCGGTAAAGGTTAATACTCAGTCATCAAAATGGATAAGACCCTAAGCGAAAAATTCGCAAACTGCGTCAACGATCTTCAGGATTACATTTCAATTTTTTCAATAACCAAACCGGATGACACGGTTCATACTTTGGACACAACACGTATGGAGTTGGATTCTGCATGGGACCAGGTCGAAAGGGCATATTTAGACTGCCGTGATTATGTTCCAGAGGAAGGAGAAAAAACCATCGACAAAAATAAACTGAGGAAACATTATATGGATACCATGGGATCATATAAACAGGCGCTGAGTTCAATAAATGGAAAAATTCAAAATATTTTGGATGAAAAAGCACACGAGAAAAGGAAAAGAGATTCAGAGATGTCACAGCAAGGAAAGGAAGTGGATTTTACGCCAATATCACGGCTGCCGCCATGCGACACAGACACTTTTAAAGGGGGTTATCGAGAATGGCCGACTTTCAGAGATTTATTTTCGGCAATTTACATAAACAATTCAAAATTAAGTAATGTCGAAAAGTTATTCCATTTGACTCAAAAGACAGCAGGAGAAGCGCGAGAAATTATAACGCATGTTATGATGGATTTGCATTAGCATGGAAAAATCTTACGGATCGTTATGAGAACAAAAGGATGCAAATTAATG